CCCTATTTAATAATAATTTACCTTGCAGGTGATAATAAAGGTTTTAAAATACCTTTATTTAATACTCTACCTTGCAGGTGATAACAATGTTTTAAAATACATTTATTTGATATTCTACCTTGCAGGTGATAACAAACGTTTTAAAATACCCCTATTTAATAATAATTTACCTTGCAGGTGATAATAAAGGTTTTAAAATACCTTTATTTAATACTATACCTTGCAGGTGATAATAAAGGTTTTAAAATACCTTTATTTAATACTATACCTTGCAGGTGATAACAAATGTTTTAAAATATCTTTGTTTAATACTATACCTTGCAGGTGACAACAAATGTTTTAGAAAATAATTAAAATGTTTAAATTTCGTAACTCAGCCTAACAACTTTTATAAAAATCGCATTATGGTTTATAACGTTAGAAGCCTTCACATTTGCCGTTGTGCTACTAGAGGGCACGATCAGTTGAGGCGGTCTGCAACAAAACTTCTAAAATACGATGATCTGTTGAAACGATAATAAAACTCGGTGATCTGATAAAGAGGACTGTTGAAACGACAATAAAACTCGGTGATCTGATACAGAGGACTGTTGAAACGATAATAAAAAAATCATATTGTTTACTAAATATTGAAAAGACTACACATTATTAGCAATGGTATTGTTCACTGTGTATCGGGGAAATTAAAGACATTTTAAGTAAACATATTGTTCAGTGAGTATCGGAGAAACTAGGCATTATGAGTAATCATATTATTCACTCAATATCGTAGAAACTACACATTATTAGTAATCATATTGTTCACTAAGTATCGGAGAAATTAAATACATTATTAGTAATCTCGTTGTTAATTGAAAATTGGAGAAACTAAAAACGTTATTAGTAATCATATTGTTCAGTGAGTATCGGAAATAGAAAGACATTATTAGTAATCATATTGTATACCGAGTATCGGAGAGACTACACATTATTAGCAATGATATTGTTCACTGTGAATCAGAGAAACTAAAAACTTTATGAGTAAACATATTGTTCACTGATTATCGGAGAAACTAAATATTATTAGTAATCACATGTTCACTGAGTATCGGAGAGACTAGACATTATTAGTAATCTCGTTCTCAATTGAGTATTGGAGAAACTAAAGATGTTATTAGTAATCATATTGTTCACTGAGTATCGGAGGAACTAAAGACATTATTAGTAACCATATTGTATAATAAATATTGGAGAACTAGACATTATTAATAATCAAATTGCTCAAGTGTATCGGAGAAACTAAAAACATTATTAGTAATCATATTGTTCACGATTATCGTAAAAATTAAGATATTATTAGTAATCACCTGTTTACTGTGTATTGGATAAATTAGACATTATTAGTAATCACATTGTTCATCGAGTATCGGAGAAACTAAAGACGCTATTAGTAATCATATTATTCATGAGTATCGTAGAGACTAAAGACATTATTAGTAATCATATACTTCAATGAGTATCGGAGAAACTAAAGAGATTATTAGTAATCATATTGTTCACTCAGTATCGTAGAGACTAAAGACATTATTAGTAATCATATACTTCAATGAGTATCGGAGAAATTAAAGACATTATTAGTAATCATATTGTTCAGTGAGTATCGGAGAAACTAAAAAGATTATTATAGATCATATTGTTCACGAGTATCGTAGAAATTAAGATATTATTAGTAATCACATGTCCATCGTGTATCGGAGAAACTAAAGACGCTATTAGTAATCATATTGTTAAGAGAGTATCGGAGAAACTAAAGGCATTTTTAGTAATCATATTGTACACGAGTATCAGAGAAACTAAAAATCATTATTAGTAATCACGTTCTCAATTGAGTATCGGAGAAACTAAAGACATTATTAGTAATCATATTGTTCACTGAATATCGGATAAACTATACATTATTAGTAATCACATTGTTCATCGAGGATCGGAGAAACTAAACACGTTATTAATAATCACATTGTTCACTGAATATCGGGAAAACTAAAAAGTTATTGATAATCATATTGTTCACGAGTATCGGAGAAACTAAAGAAATTATTAGTAATCATATTGTTTACTGGGTATTGGAGAAAATAGAGACATTATTAGTAATCTTATTGCTCACGAGTGTCGTAGAAATTAAGATATTATTAGTAATGACATGTTTATTGTGTATTGGAGAAACTAGACATTATTAGTAATCACATTTTTCATCGAGTATTGGAGAAACTAAAGACATTATTAGTAAACATATTGTTCACTGAGGATCGGAAAAACTAGACATTTTTAGCAATCATGTTGTTTATTAATTAATGGAGAAACTAAAGACATTATTAGTAATCACATGTTCACTGAGTATCGGAGAAACTAAAGAAATTATTAGTAATCACGTTGTTCACTGAGTATCGGAGAAACTAAAGACTTTATTAATAATCATATTTTCTACTAAATATTGGTGAAACTAAACATTATTAGTAATCATATTGTTCACTGTGTATCGGAGAAACTAGACATTTTTGGTAATCATATTTTTCACTGAGTAACAGAGAAATTATAGACATTATTAGTAATCACTTGATCACCGAGTATCGGAGAAACTAAAGACCTTATTAGTAATCATATTGTTTACTAAATATTGGAGGAACTAAATACATTATTAGTTATCACATGCTCACAGAGTATCGTAGAAACTAAATATATTATTAGTAATCACATGTTCACTGAGTATCGGAGAAACTAAATATATTATTAGTTATCACATGTTCACTGAGTATCGTAAAAACTAGACATTATTAGTAATCATATACTTCACTGAGTATCGGAAAAACTAAAGACAATATTAATAGTCACATGTTCACTGAGTATCGAAGAAACTAAATATATTATTAGTAATCATATTGTTCACTGAGTATGGGAGAAACTAAAGACATTATTAGTAATCACATGTTCATTGAGTATCGTAGAAACTAGACATTGTTAGTAATCATATTGTTTACTGAGTATCGTAGAAACTAAATATATAATTTTAATCATATTGTTCACTGAGTATCGTAGAAACTAGACATTACTAGTAATCATATTGTTCACTGGGTATCGGAGAAAGTAGAGAAATTATTACTAATCATATACTTCACTGAGTGTCTGAGAAACTAGATATTATTGGTAATCATATTGTTCACTATCAGAGAAGCTAAAGAAATTATTGGTAATCATATTGTTTACTAAATATTGGAGAAACTAAATACATTATTAGTTATCACATGTTCACTGAGTATCGTAGAAACTATACATTATTAGTAATCATATTGTATAATGTGTATCAGAGAAAATATAGACATTATTACTAATCATACACTTTACTGAGTATCGGAGAAATTAAAGACATTATTAGTTATCACATGTTCAC